GCAAGAAACCTAGGAAAGATAAGAGGCTTGTCTCTCTGGCTTTAAATCTCTGCAAGATGTGGGGTTGGCTGGTGGCGTGGTGGTTAAGGGCGCTGGACTCCCATATGGCCCACTGCAGTTCGATTCCTGGATTGATAGCTTGCTTTCTTACTCTCTCTCTTTCACTCGCTCTCTCTGTCCCTGTCTGGTCAAATTTAAATAAATAAATAATAAAATAGCTCTTAAAATCTTTGCAAGATGTAGCTTTCACCATTTACCAACCACTTTGCAACTTTGAACTTCAGAACTGTGCCATAGCTCAAGGACACTGGTGTAATCAATTGGAGACAACTAAATTCTGGAAAACACTCCTGGGTTGCAATTTTGCCATTGAGCAGAGATGTTCTAAATCTAGATATGCTATTTTTCAACTTTTTACACCAGGCACTATAACGTCTAATACTTTACAAATGTTCTGCTATTGGAAAATAAACATTTTTGAATTGTTGATATCTTTTCTGTGAGCTGACAAGGTTATATGATCTTTCAGTACTCTCTGTCTCAGAGTTTCATCATTAAATTGATGATGGATATGGGAGAAGCTATGCAGTCATGGTTTTCAAAAACTTATAAAAAGTAAGATGCTTTTTAAATTACATGTGTAATATGTATGTGTGTTTATACATTCACATATATGTGCATCTACATACACACATTCATACATACACACATACATGGAAAATATAGGTTTTGGGTTAAAATTTTAGCTCTATCATTATCAAGTGTGTGGCCATGGGCAAGTTCTTCAGCCTTGCTAAAGTTCAATTTCCTTTCTATAAAAAGTTGTTAATAATACTCACCCCCTCTAATGGTTAAAAAGATTAATGAATGCTTTTGAGATAGACCTGAATTTGAATTCTGACTCTAAGTGCTTAACTTGGATAAGCACTTCTTTTTCTTTTTTTTTTTTTTAAGAATATTTGTTTATTTAATTTTATACATCATCATTATTATTTTATAAGCTGTTACAGGGTATGTGTGCCCATGAGAGAGACAGAGAATGAAAGAGAAAGAGAGAGAAAATGAGAAAGCAAGTCTCCAGGTAGAACCATGGTCGACTATGTGAGTCTAGCACCTTCACCACCATGCCAACTGCTGGCCCCAAGATATTCCTTCTTTTTAGACTGTTTCCTTCTCTGTGAAATAGGAATTAAAGGGTGTACCTGGGAATCAGCAGTTAGTGTAATGGCTATGTCGCTGGACTCCCACGTAGTCGACCGCGGTTCGCGTCCCGGACCCGGTGGCTTCAAACTCAACGCCGGGCGCATGTGCGTGTGTGCCCAAGATCCCGAAAGGAGAATGGAGGAGAAGGGATTGCGGCGTGACCATCCCCCCGGGGGGTGATTTCTCGCTTTCTGTCTCTCTATCTCTCTCTATCTGTCTGACGAGCGCATGCGCCCTATAGCGAAAACCTCTCCAAAAAAAAAAAAAAAAGGGTGTACCTAATGAGGTTATTGGGAGGATTAATTAATTCTGTATAACATGTCTAGTACAGTGCCTTATATACATACAGTAAGAGTCTAGTAAATGTTAGCTGTTATTATTATCAGAGTAAGTACTATTATTATATAAAAAGGCAACACTTAGTACATGCTGCTGTGGCTGTCTCCTTTACCTCAATCTCTTACTAATGAGAAATATCCAAGAATTGGACAATTGGGTCAAGAATAAGACATCCTTATGCACCATATTACTCACCAAATAGCTTGTAGCTGGCTTACAATGTCACCAACAATATACAGCATCTATCCACTTCACTCTAACCTTCATCAATAGTTGTTTTCTGTTATTTTTAAGAGACAGTGTGGTTTCTTGAGATTATTCCAAATTTCATTTATTACTGTGAAGGTAGGCATTGTCTCTTCTATTTGATTTACTGTTTGGATATTTCAGTATGAATAATTATTTCCATCTTTTGCCTCTTTATCAATTTAAATCTTGAAATAAAAACATTTGAATAAACTCTTTGTGTATTTCAAACATTAGCCATTATATTTAATGCAAATACTTTCCCAGTAAGTGGAAACCAAAGAGGTCTGGTACAGAGGAGGAGAGATCAGGGAAAGTTCTGTGTGTTCAGGAGCATTTCTGTGCATGGGCTGCTGTCTCTTGCATAGTCAACTCTACCATTCTCATGGCTATATTATCCATTACTAAACTCCTCTGCCCTGCATGATACTATAGCTCTATATATCTAACTATAGGGTATTTCTTTATAGTTGTCTTGTAGATACCCTAAGTCTATCATAGATATAACCGAATTCATTATTTGTCTCCCAACTATTAGATCATCAGGAAAATCATGATGCATTTTTCTGTTTCTCTATGTAAAAATGGATCATGACTTTCCTGACAACCCAATAGCTAACTTTCCAAATTTTCTCATTTGATCCCTTATTGTCCTAGACAAGAGATTTTTTTTTAAAATTACTTCTTTCTTCCATGTGCAAGAGAGAGAAAGGCAGTGCCAAACAGGGTCTTGAGACCTCCATCCACTCCCAGGCTTAGCCAGTCTCTGATCATGGACATGCACATTATCTGTTGTAGTCAGGGAGATCTCAGGATGTGAACCTAGATGTGGGTCAGCCTCACAGAGTGTTGAGTTTCACTGCTATGCCACTGTCTGGCCTCCTGCTAGTCAAGAGATCTTGAGGTTGTTTCTCTATATAGCAAAAAAGCCTGTTGAACTGTCTCTGAAATTATACTGAAATATCAGTCATGTGCCCTGATTTTTGATTTGGAAAATATGATGATCATATATCAAGAAAATGAGGAGGAGAGGCAGCCAAGTTGACATGTTATCTCAAGCCCTTTCTGCATGCCAGCATCTGCTCCTAAAACCAAAGCATATGAGCCTGAAGCAGGTAAGCAAAACAAGCACATGGAGACTGGACTCCAGACATGGATATTTGATAAAGGAAGCCAGGAATTAACAAGAGGGACAGAAAGTACTAGAAATCAATGCCTTGAGCATTTGGTTCAAGCATCTACTGTCCTTAAATTTTGTTCTGTATTCATGGTAGAACATGTGAACATACATGTAGAAGGAGAGAGAGAGAGAGAGACTCTACAGAGGGTCTGGTTTTATCATAATCCTCTAGCCCATAGAATCTTGGGCACTGGGCATGTATCTGTGTGTTTCAGGATAACTGGACCAGGCATCCTCTCTCTCTTTCTCTCTCTCTCTCTTTAACTGCCAGAGGGCATTTGTGCTTGTGGAGGTGGAGAGGGAGGGAGTAGGGCATGGTCACTCCACAATCTTTTTTCCTTCATTTCTCCATCCCATTAAGATTTGGAGCACATGTGCACATGTGCCCAGTGTATTTTTTAAGATCCTGAGACAGGACTCAAACCACTGCCAGCCATGTGTAATACAGCTTTCTCATAGCACTTTACTGCTATGTTATGTAGTTAGCCCATATTTTTATATTTTAATGATGATATTTTCTAAGTTGTTTGGATAATTTAATAGGTAAATGGCTATGGTACTGATTTTGTCTTAGTATTATGGCTTTTTCTGTTGATGCTTCGGTTAGGGTGTTAGCACCAGGAAATCAGAAAATGTGTTTTAGCATTTGCCACCAATGTGTAGATTCAGTTCCTTCTAATGTCAACTGAACTGTGCACCATGAGTGGCTGGACAGAAAATAAGTCAAATATAAAACATCAAAATTCATTTAAATAAAAATTGAAATAAATTCTATCATTATTTTTAAGACTATACTTCATGAGAGGCCAAATTGATAACATTTTATATGGAAGCCTGTTTCTCTTATTTCTTTATTTTCCCTTGAATTACAATATATAATAGATCACTTAAGAAGCACCATCTAGTACTCTAGGAGGTTAATCCATGTGGGAAGGTTCTGGGTTTATACCCAAAGACCTCCCAGAGTATGCCAGGTAGGAATGCACAGTGTCTATGCTTTGTGGCGGGCTTAAGCTGGGTAGATCACAGTGTCAAGATCCTGATGGTGGTGCACTCTCCTCTCTCTCTTGTGGAAAAAGAAACAGATAAACTTTGTTTTTAGTCCCATCTGAAGAGACAAGAAACACTTCCAATACACTGAGAACAACCTCAATTTCTTTGTGTCTTTGTAATATGTGTTGAAGGCAAACTCCACATAGTTCTAAAATTTTCCTACCCAGAGTTGGGTGTGCTTGTGTCATATGTGTGTGTGCATGCACAAAGTGTGAGTGGGTGTGGACATACTGTTCTCATGAGGGCACACTTTTTACATTTTTAGGGGAACAATCAAGACTGGTTTTCCAAAGACAGAGTATGGTGTGTGAAATCCACATCTTCAAACTTCAAATATTCATTCTGCCCCCAGTGTCATGTTTAGGGTAGAAGAGTGAAGACAGGGCACCATGTATTCTAATTCCTTAGAGAAAAAACAACTGGGGTTCCCCAATTTAAACTGTCCTTGGAAGGTTTGTTTTTGTCCTTATTTTTCTCTCTCTCTCCCAGTGGGTGGGTGGAATCAGGCAGGGATATCTAGAAGGCACTGAGGACAAAGAATTCACATCACCAAGCAGATGATCACAAACAAAATGGCTTCCTAAATTACAATCCATGCCACATACTGTGGCCTGAGACTGATACCCTGAATTTCCTTTCACAACCACTTAAGAAGGCCTTGGTCAAGTCTGTCCCACAATGGCAAATTAGTCCCTCTGATTCATTCCAGGACTTATCACATACTTTCTGGCAGAAAAACTGGTTAATTTATACCAGGTAATTATCTCTGGATTTTATCCTCTGGTAACTAATCCCTCACTGCAGCACGGAGTAGTAAAGCCCAGGTGAAATTCCACAGGCTCTTCCCCGCAGCACCACACAGTGAGACTCACTGGTGCCAGCCAACCCGTGCGCCCAAGTCCGTTCGCCAACCCAAGTCTCTACTTGGCATGTCCATCGAGCTCCCGCCCTCGGGGTGGGCACGTTTCGCCACCCTCGAGCTGCCAGCTCTCTCGAGCTCACTAGCCGTCGGCGTGGAGTGGAGAGAGGAGGCCCTGGGGTCGAGGGACGTCTTAGACGAAGATAGAAGACCTGGAGGACCTGTGTGCGCACGTGGGTGTGCGCAGGCCGCGCAGGAAACTGCTGCCAGAATTCGGCTCCAGGGCTCCGGACAGCTCTCTCCTGGCGCATTTCACGTGCCGAGAATCGCCGGCGCCCCCCGGCGGCTGTGGAGACGCCAGAGCACAGCGCGGCTCCGTGACCCACGCGGCCGAACGCGGCTTGCGATCACTGGCAGAGACACGCACCAAAGACCGCGCCGCCACCCCGGAGTACCCCAGACTCGCAGCCGAGCCTTCTGAACGGTGTATCTAGAGAAAGCACCAACCCAGCATCCCAAAGGCTTTTAGGGAGAAACTCAGGCAAACTTCCACTTCCCGACGCTCAGCCTCCGCAACATCCTCCCCGGGGCGCGCCGAACCCCGCAGCAGGTGCCTGACGACAGCTTCACGCCTCCCCAGCTCGCGTCTGGGCAGCCGCGGACCCCCCGGCCACCCCAGACCTTGGCCCAGGGAAAAGAGAACGTCATTTACTCATACCTGATCCTGTCCTTCTCTGCCCTCTGCAGCTTCTCATTTCTTTCCAGGACCTGAAGGATCTTCCTGGCTTCTTCGTCATTTAAGAAACTGAAATCGAACCCCTGAGGAACTTTCGTCATTTTCTCCACTGTGTGTGAGTTACCCTTAAGCTTCTTGGGACCTCCTGTTACGATGGCATTTTTCAGGATATTGGAGACTAGTTTCACGAGCTGGAGCCCATAGCCAATAATAAGTCCGCCCCTTTGAAAGTCTACCACCACAAACCCAGGGAACGGCCCACACATACAAGGCTCATTTTAACAACACCTTAATGACATGTTTCTCTTAACCTGTCCAACCGAGATGCAAAACGAATGAGTAAAAAGAGAGAGGGAACCAATCCCATTCCAAGGGGGCGGGACCTCCCTCGTCACCTCCCTCCTGCCCTCCCCCACCCCTATCTGACTTGTTAAGCAAACAAGCCTACATAATTCCATCTCTGAGTGAGGCTGAGACTGAAGTGTGGGCCGCAAAGTATTTGCTTTGGCTGTTGCCATTAGTTCTTAGAACTTGAGCTTGGCTAGTAGAAGGAGTGAAAAGTAAAGGCATTCATGGCTAATCCTCCCTTTGAATAATTAAGAGCTCATAAGAAATAGAATCTTGAGAAGGATCTTCAGCACTGGCAAAAGGGTTACCTTATGTAAATGAACCGGAAGAGTGGACTTTACTGCACAGCCCTGTGTGGACACATCTGGCAGAAGGGTTGAAATCAGCGGGTCCCTCCAATTGACTTCTTCACCAAGCCTTCCCATCCCTCAGACAACCCCCTTCTCCTCCATCACTACCACTCCGTAGTTTTACACAAGTCAGTCTCCGAAGATAGAAACGAACAAAACCCACTCATTTTAAGAGAAAACTGCCCTGGGGCAAAGGATGGCAGAAAGCACCTGTTAAAGCTTTCTGTAAGATTTTGTAATCTTCTTAATAAAAGCTGTTTCAGAGAAGTAATACAAGTTCCACTTTCAAATACCTAATCCTGTGACTACTGTAAAATGTAATCCTGTGATACCATTTCTTTTCCTAGAAAGTCAATTATACCACAATGCAAACAAGTATAGAAATGTCTGAAGACATTTATATGTGTCCATGTGTGTACACACACATTTTAAAGATTATCAAGGCTTTCTTAGAGAACATGTTGCTTTTGGCTTCACTTCCTACACAACAATAACTTTGTCAGGCAACTTTCCAGCCCCATAGACCTACTGTAGTCATTCTTATATGGTGGTGATAATAACTAACATATAAAATGTATTTCCACATCTATCATCTCTTTTCATAGCAAATAACCCAATAAAGACATTGTATCTATAACAAAAACATGCTGTCAAAAAAGGCCTTTTATGGGACCAGCAGGTGGTGTAATGGTTACATTGCTGGACTCCCACATAGTTGACCGCAGTTTGAGTCCCGGAGCAGTAGCTTAAAACTCATTCTGGGTGTTGTGTGTGCGTGGCCAAAATCCTGAGAGGAGAATGGAAGAGAAAGGATTGATAATGATCATCTCCCCTGGGGGGGGTGATTTCTTGCTTTTTGTTTCTCTGTCTTTTTCTGTCTCTCCAGTGAGCACACACACCCTATGGCAAAAATCTCTCTCTTAAAAAAAAAAGGCTGTTTATGTTTTGGCCTCTGGGTCCTCTGCTCATTTTAATCGTCATTATGTAAGACATGTCTAGGCAGTTAGCCATTCAGATAATTTTCTGTGGGTGTCTGTTTTTTAGGAATGGAAATCAGACCCATGAGTGGAATCACTCTGACAAAGATCTTTCCGGTACTTCAAGAAAAAGTAGTATTTGCTTTGGCTGTTGCCATTAGTTCTTAGAACTTGAGCTTGGCTAGTAGAAGGAGTGAAAAGTAAAGGCATTCATGGCTAATCCTCCCTTTGAATAATTAAGAGCTCATAAGAAATAGAATCTTGAGAAGGATCTTCAGCACTGGCAAAAGGGTTACCTTATGTAAATGAACCGGAAGAGTGGACTTTACTGCACAGCCCTGTGTGGACACATCTGGCAGAAGGGTTGAAATCAGCGGGTCCCTCCAATTGACTTCTTCACCAAGCCTTCCCATCCCTCAGACAACCCCCTTCTCCTCCATCACTACCACTCCGTAGTTTTACACAAGTCAGTCTCCGAAGATAGAAACGAACAAAACCCACTCATTTTAAGAGAAAACTGCCCTGGGGCAAAGGATGGCAGAAAGCACCTGTTAAAGCTTTCTGTAAGATTTTGTAATCTTCTTAATAAAAGCTGTTTCAGAGAAGTAATACAAGTTCCACTTTCAAATACCTAATCCTGTGACTACTGTAAAATGTAATCCTGTGATACCATTTCTTTTCCTAGAAAGTCAATTATACCACAATGCAAACAAGTATAGAAATGTCTGAAGACATTTATATGTGTCCATGTGTGTACACACACATTTTAAAGATTATCAAGGCTTTCTTAGAGAACATGTTGCTTTTGGCTTCACTTCCTACACAACAATAACTTTGTCAGGCAACTTTCCAGCCCCATAGACCTACTGTAGTCATTCTTATATGGTGGTGATAATAACTAACATATAAAATGTATTTCCACATCTATCATCTCTTTTCATAGCAAATAACCCAATAAAGACATTGTATCTATAACAAAAACATGCTGTCAAAAAAGGCCTTTTATGGGACCAGCAGGTGGTGTAATGGTTACATTGCTGGACTCCCACATAGTTGACCGCAGTTTGAGTCCCGGAGCAGTAGCTTAAAACTCATTCTGGGTGTTGTGTGTGCGTGGCCAAAATCCTGAGAGGAGAATGGAAGAGAAAGGATTGATAATGATCATCTCCCCTGGGGGGGGTGATTTCTTGCTTTTTGTTTCTCTGTCTTTTTCTGTCTCTCCAGTGAGCACACACACCCTATGGCAAAAATCTCTCTCTTAAAAAAAAAAGGCTGTTTATGTTTTGGCCTCTGGGTCCTCTGCTCATTTTAATCGTCATTATGTAAGACATGTCTAGGCAGTTAGCCATTCAGATAATTTTCTGTGGGTGTCTGTTTTTGTATGAAACAGGAACTAATCTGCCCACTGATGTTGTACAATACACAGAATTTTTTTTTAAGAATTATTTTATTTAACTGTATTTATTTATTTGTTTTAATTTGACCACAGAAGGACAGAATGAGAGAAAAGGAAAGCAAGCTGCCAAGTCCGGTACTTGAACCGTAGTCAGCCATGTGGGAGTCCAATGTTCTTAATCATCATGCTACCTACTGACCCCCTGAATTCCTTTTTAAAAAGTCTCAGTGTTAATAATGGTGGTTTGGGATGTACCTTTCTCATGTTTCCAATTTTTCTGGTATGTTTATTTATTTAGCATATAAATGAGGTTTTTTCGTTTTTGTTTTTGTTTTTGTTTTTTTACTATGGGAACTGGTGAGCTTTTAACTGTTCCAAGTTTATCAATGAATTGCTTTCAACCAACACATTGTGCTGTGTATTACAGGAAGGCCTTGTACACTGTAAACAGCATAGCCTTTGTCATTAGAAAGTTTATAATCCAATGGGAGAGAGAACAGGAATTTAAAAAATGACTACATAGCAAATACCATAATAGAGGAGTAAAGAAAATTCCACAGGGAAAAAAGTTAGTTCTAATTAAGTTAGTTCTAGTTAAGGGAAAAGAATGCTATATCTAGACTGCAGCATGAAGGGTCAGATTTGAACAGGAAGAAATAGAGGGTGGTGGGAGATGTGTGAGTTCTTCCAGGCAAGGGGATGAGGGTGCAGAATAGCAGATGTATCCTCTAGGAATCTTCTCATATTCCCTCAACTCCTCTGAATAATAACCAGAATGAGCAAAAATAGGCAAGCTAGGAAATATAGTGGCATGTTCAGGGACTGGTAAGTGATCTGCTTTAGCTAGAGCATGCATTCTCAATAGGGGCAAAATCTTGCTCTTTTTATGTATACAACACAGATATACTTACAATATATAGACAGATAGATAGGATACCTGCGGTGTTAACACTTTGTTAAGGGAGAATTAAGAAAAAAATTATAAACAATCTCCTTGAGGGGACAGTAATAAAACTTGTACTGAGCTAGCACAGTGGGGCACACAGAGTGATCTGACTCTGGTCCTATGTTAAGGAATCTGGAGTTTACTATGTAAGCAATGAGGCACCTATCCAGGTTTTGAGCATGACAATGATACACACATTGTCCCTCTAAATCAACAGGAGATTGGCTCTAGGACACCCCTCCAATACTAAAATTTGTGGATGCTCAAGTTCCTTATGTGAAGTAGTACACTTGCTTATAATCTATGCTTATCTTCCTGTGTACTTTAGATCATCTCTAGAGTACTTGTAAAACCTAATACAATATACATGCTATGTGAATAGTTCCTCTACAGGACAGTTTTAATTTGTATTGCTTTTTATTGTGTTGTTATTTTTTATTGTTTTTTTTTTCCTCTCAAATATTTTATCTTTGTAGTTTTTTTTTTTTTTCAAGAAATTTTTGCTGCAGGGCAGTGCACTCACCAGACAGAGAAGACAGAGACACAGAAAGCGAGAAATCACCATGCCATGCCACAATCCCTTTTCCTATGTTCTTCTCCTGAAATCTTGGGCATGCACACATGTGCACTTGGTGTGAGTTTAAGCCACCAAGTCTGGGACTCGAACCATAGTTAGCCATGTGGGAGTCCAGTGACATAACTGCTACACAATCTGCTGGCTCCTCTATTTGCAGTTATTTGAATCCACATATGTGGAACCACAGATGCAAAGAGCTGATTGTATTAGGTCATTGAGAAAGTCATGACATATTTTTCTATGCAAAAATGTGTCATTATTTTTCCCAATGACCCAATAGTTGAAACTGAACTTTGGAAAGATTACTCTCATAGCAATAGGCAAGGAAGAATAGAGTGAAGAGGGAGCAAGGAAATAATTGCGTTGGAATGTTGATGTGGGAGAAAGGAGAAAGAGGACCTGAATTGAACCAATGGAAGTGAGAGTTAAAACGAGGGTTGGAATCCAAAAATATTGGCTGGAATTAGTAACTCATTAGATCCGAGAGTTAATAAAGAAGTCACAAAGATAATGCAAGCTTTCAAAAGTGTCCCAAGGAGACCAGTCTATTTTATGGTACAAGAAACAGTATTTGTACAGAGATCGGAGTCAGTGTTAAACACAACCACAGCAAGGGTGGACAGGGTGTAGCGGCTGAGTTCAGGACTTTGAATTACCAACCACCAAGGCTGCTGCAGCCTGGGCTGTGGCACAAAAGAGCGGAGAAATGTTTATATTGAGGCTTTATATTGAGAAATTCACAAGGCATTGGGGTTTGCCCTGGAAACCATATAAAATAATTTCTGTGGGGTTATAAACACAATATTTCTTTGTTTGTTTGTTTTTCAGGCTTTTGCCATGGGGCATGTGTGCTCGCAAAAGAAAAAATACAGAGAAAGGGAAAGTGAGAAATCACTTCCTGGGGGGATGGCCACACCCAATCTCTTCTCCTCCATACTCCTCTAGGGATCTTGGTCATGCAGGTACATGTGCCTAGCATGATTTTCTTTTCTTTTTCTTTTTCTTTCTTACTTTTTTTTTTTTTTTTTAGAGGTTTTTGCTATAGGGCACGTGCTCTCGCCAGACAGACTGAGAGAGACAGAGAGAAGAAAGCGAGAAATCACCCCCTGGGGGGATGGCCATGCCGCAATCCCTTCTCCTCCATTCTCCTCTCGGGATCTTGGGCATGCACGCACATGCGCCCGGCATGAGTTTTAAGCCACCTGGTCCAGGTGACTACATGGGAGTCCAGCGACAGCCATTACACTAACTGCTGGTCCCACCTAGCGTGATTTTCAAGACACCAGAAATCTAATTATTGTCGGCCATGTGGGAATCTGGCTGCCTTAACCACCATGTCATCTGCTGGCCCTAAACATAGTACTCTAAAAGTAAAATAAATCTCAAAATTTTGTTTTATGAGCTTGTTCAGCCAACTGTAACTGCCCATTTCCAGTCTTAGTATCTGATAACCCTAGTCTTCTCCTGCCCTGCCTCTCAACTAAAGAGATATTCATTAGTTTGGTTTTTAATGGTAACAACGGAATAGAAAAGCAATAATCTATAAAAAGATAAAGATTAATCTCCCATGGTTTCCTGTCTTTTTCAGTTTGTTGACTAAATCCCCACAGAAGGCTTAGTTTTTCTTCCCTGGCAATCACCCAGCTAAGGGCATGCTGATCACATTACTTGCTTGAATGTCTGGATTTTTGCTATGTAAAGTCCTTTATGATCACAGGATGCCACTGGAAGCATCTC